CTTGGACGCCTTATGCATTATTCTACAAAACTTCCGTTTGTTCAGCAACTTGCATAATTGTTTAGCTTGTGTTAAATGATGAATTTTTTTTTAACTCTTGATTTCTGTTCACAAGAAAGATTATTGTCTGAAATTGTAATATGAAAATCAAGCAGGCCTCAAGACTTTGCTTGAAGATTTTGGAATTGAACAAATTTGAAATTTTCACCAATTTAAAAAAAACCTTCATGAAAGCTGAAGGTCTTGAACAGAGAAAGTAATGCTGAACTAATTTCAACTTATGGTGCAATATACTTTAGTAACATAATTAACTGAGAACAAAAAGACATTGATATGAACACTAAAGTTAAAAAGGGATTCTTGCACAGTAAGATTTACAATTGTACATATCAAAACATCCAACTACATTTGAGTTAGTATCCTGTTTGGAAATATACCAATAAAACTGAAGTAGTGCAAGAACAGACATAAATATCGCAGGGTATAAATATTTAAATATATTGTACTTAATAGATCTGTATACAATATGTACATGTATATATAGTTTACTACTATAGATTGAGTTTTTTTTGTGTGGATATTTGGTTTTGTGTTTTGCCAAAGTCTGCATACAAACATAAAGAAAATTGTCCTATATTGAACATTTAAATTTGTGGTCCACCTTTACCCACCAAATCTATGAAAATTGGTTTCCCCACAAATAAAAATGAATACTCAAATTTAGGTTCATGCAAGTCCCATTTTGCAAAATTCTTTTTAGAACTTTATAATGATTCGTTAAATTTATTATCAGAAATAAGTAAAAGAAGATTATTTTGTCAGGAAAGAGAAACCCGACACTCTGTCTGACCGATATATTCAGAAATAACTGCAGCGTGTTATTATAAACTTTGGTGGGGTTGTTGTCTCTTTGACATATTCCCCATTTCCATTATCAATTTTATTTAAATGTAAAAATGTAATCTTTTAAAATAAGACTAACATGATATAAGTAAAATTTATGCTAGGTATTGTTGTATTCATATGCATGATCATTTAATGTAGAAAGCTGTGAGAACAAATAGTAGAATTCAATAGAAGTATTCATTAGTTCATTTATAGTGGAAAACAGTTTAATAGATGCTTCTACATTGTATCTGTAATATCTGAAATTAAACAACATACATGTAACACACACAAATTAATCAAAGGTGTAGCAAGATTTTTGTGTATTTTACATAAAAATCAAACTACTTAATTAATTTCTAACTGGTTTTACAAATACCATTAACTTGAATGTGTTTCTAATTGATTTACGAAGTCAATATCACATCTCAAGGTCACCATTGTATTTCACCTGTTATTATAACTGGGGCATAGCTACAGGTAAAGGTAAACTTTAACATTGTTCTATTTATAGCCCAAATTCAATGCAGTCATGTCAACTCTATCAATATTGAGAAATAAGGAAGTTTCTCTTGTTTTATTCAAGCATGATAGAAAAACAAATGTCTACATCAGTTCCCACCAAATATTAGGAAACCCATTAGGAAATCCTTTATAAATATCAGCAGAGGATATTGGGCCACATTATGTCCTGTGTAAGGCTACCCTATATATATATCCAACTATAGCAAAAGATGTTGAGCATAAAGAAGAAAATGTCTTGATTAGTTGTTTGAATTACAAAGATAATACTGATTTTTTGTGTGCAACTGAGATAAAGGGTGGAACATGTACATTAACCATGCAGATATTTATTCTTACTTTTTAAAAATACAAAAAATATACTTCAAATATTCAAATAATTGTGAATTGACCAGCCCTCTGGAGGCAGTGATTTTCCTAGTGTTTAGGGGAAGGGGCCCATGCAATTGGAAATAAAAGTTCGTGAAATGTTGGCTTTAGGGAAAATATATTAGTCTATACGGAGGGCACATGGCACAAGCTGTATGCAACTTGCTAGGGGGGTTTGCCCCCCAACAAAATTTTGAAAAATTAGGTGCAAAATCCTGCATTCTGAGGAGGAATAACAGCATGAATTTCAAACAAGATTCAAGAGATTTGTGAACATAAAACCATGATACGACACCAACAAATTCTCGTGACAATGTCTATATACAATTGGGAATTTGTGAGCTGAAAATTGGGAAAAAAAGAGCATATTTCTCTTTTGGATAGGGGCCCAAATTCGGACCCAAAATGAGGGTTGGAAAATCGATGGGAGGCTCTGGTGGGTTAATAAATGACCAGCCCTCTGGAGGGTTAATAAATGTAATTTATTTCAGTTAGACAGTAATACCAACATTTTCTTCAATTCGTTTGTCCAATATACTTCAATATGTTTGGATGCTGAGACAATTTCACACATGCGGTTAAATTTGTAGGTAACCATGTGAGTTTAAATTTTCTGCAATTTTGAAAAACCTTTGTGATTGTCTTCTGGGAGTGAAAAATCCATTTCACATTATGAAATTCCCTGGAAATTCAGTTCTTGACAAACATTTGAAACTTTATAGTTGTTAGTTATATCTGTATCCTTGGTCCTCTGCTCTTCAAAAACAGAACAAATGTAGTCGAGCTCGGTCAATCATCAAAAATATCAATAGTATCATTGCACAAAAGAATTTTTGTTACACTTATTATTAGCTCACCTGCAACTGAGCTTTTCTCATTACTTGGCGTCCGTCGTCTGTTAACTTTTACAAAATTCTTCATCTGAAACTACTTGGCCAAATTTAACCAAACTTGGCCACAATCATCATTGGGGTATCTAGTTCAAAAAATGTGTCCGATGACCCTGCCTCCCAACCAAGCTGGCCGACATGGCTTAAAATAGAACATAGGGGTAAAATGCAAGTTTTGTCTACTATTTTGAACACCCGTTATAAATGGAGAAAATCTGACTGGAGCAAAAATGTTCAGAATGTTGAGCTCTACCAATTGTCCATATACCTCAAAATAGTTAGACCACTTCTTATAGGAGTAATTGCCCTTAAATGACAAATTTTACCTTTTTTTTTCATTTTTATACGACCGCAAAAAAAATTTTGTGGTCGTATATTGGTATGACGTTGTCGTCGTCCGAAGACACATTAGTTTTCGCACTCTAACTTTAGTTAAAGTGAATGGATCTCAATGAAATTTTACCATAAGGTTCATTACCACAAAAGGAAGGTGCGGATTGATTTTGGGGGTTATGGTACCAACAGTTAAGGAATTAGGGGCCAAAAATTAGCATTTTTGTAACTTCCAGACATAACTTGTGTGTAAGTGTATGGATCTCTCTGACATTGTACCACAAGGTTCATATCACAAAGGGAATGCTGGGATTTATTTTGGGGGTAATTGCCTCCAAATTTTAGGAATAAGGGGGCAAAAAACAAGCATTTTTCTAGTTTCATGACAATAATTTGTGTGTAAGTGTATGGATCTCTCTGACATTGTATCACAAGGTTCCATATCACAAAGGGAATGCTGGGATTGATTTTGGGGGTAATTGCCTCCAAATTTTAGGAATTAGGGGCCAAAAAGGGGCAAAAAACAAGCATTTTTCTAGTTTCATGACAATAACTTGTGTGTAAGTGTATGGATCTTTATGAAATTATACTACAAGGTTCCATATCACAAAGGGAAAGCTGGAATTGAGTTTGGGGGTAATTGACCAAAAAGCTAAGGAAGAAGGGGCCAAAAAGGGGCTAAAAATAAGCATTTTTCTAGTTTCCAGACAATAACTTGCGTTCAAGTGTATGGATCTCTCTGAAATTGTACTGCAAGGTACTATACCACAAAGGGAAGGCTGAGATAGATTTTGGGGGTAATTCCCTCAAAATTTTAGGAATTAGGGGCCATAAAAGGGCAAAAAAAAAAGCATTTTTCTAGTTTCAGGACAATAATTTTTATTTATAACTTGTGTGTAAGTGTATGGATCTTTATGAAATTGTACTGCAAGGTTCCATATCACAAAGGGAAAGCTGGGTTTAAGTTTGGGGGTAATTGCCCTAAACGTTTAGGAATTTGGGGCCAAAAAAACAAGCATTTTTCTAGTTTCCAGACAATAACTTGCGTTCAAGTGTATGGATCTCTCTGAAATTGTACTGCAAGGTACCATACCACAAAGGGAAGGCTGGGATTGAGTTTGGGGGTGATGAATCATAAGGGGGTTCAAAAAATTTGGGGGGGGGGGGGGGGATTTTTTTTTCATTTTTTTGTCTTTAGAATTTTCCATTTTAAATTGGTTATTTTTTATTTATATATAAAAGCAAATAATAATGATATGGTTTGAATAGGTAAATTAAAAAATTTTAAGTTCTTAGACCACTTTCATTCTGTGTCAGAAACCTATGCTGTGTCAAATATTTAATTACAATCCAAATTCAGTGCTATATCAAGCTTGAATGTTGTGTCCATACTTGCCCTAACTGTTCAGGGTTCGACCTCTGCGGTCGTATCAAGCTGCGCCCCAGCGGAGCATTTTATTGCCTATTATCTAGAAAACTATAATATATAGAGGGAAACTTTAAACAGCAAGAGAAGATCTACAATTAAGACAATATGGAGGAAATCGTCCAATGACTCCTTATTGGAGTTATTGCCCTTCAATGACGATTTTACCATTTTTTTTGCATTTTGCCTTATATGATAAAACTATAATAGATAAATAGACACTTTAAATCACAAAAATGATCAGCAAGGCAAGATGTACTAACAAGTCAAATTTTGCCGATATAGTTAGTAGACTGTCACTCTTTATAGGAGTGATTGCCTTTAAATGATTTTGTCATGTATTCTATTTTCATCTACAATGTTGGAGAGTGTCCTTTGTTGAATATGCACATAGACCAAGATGAGTCTCTAGTTATTGTAGTCCTCACTTTGAGGCACATTCAGGATTTTGTCTAGGTGTAGTTTAAAACATCAGCTGTACAATGCAAGGTATTGTTTACATTGTTATATTATCAAAGGAATGTTCCTAGTATACACTTAAAATTTACATTTTGTTACTGGATTTTATTTTACAGAAATTCCATTATCAATCCGGTTTGAGTCACATTTGAAGAAAGGAGACTGGCAGAATGCTTCCTCTAGTAAAAGTGCTAAAATGTTGTCATCTGAAAAAAGGTAAGAATGATGAACATTGAACAAAAAACAGAAAACCACAACCTAACAAACCTACAATTATAAAAAATTTGTAGGGGTCCGCGGAACCCAGTGTCTCGCCTACTTCTGCTGTTGTTTATGTCTTCATTATGATAGGGGAATGCACAAAATAGATATACAGTTAATGAAATAAAACGTTTGAAATGTATGAAAAAAATTATGCTTGTAAAAAATGAATACAGTATGCAATCAAATCTTAGAGAATTATAAAAGAGTTGAAACATAAATTTATTGAATGAACAAATGATAAAGAAGATAATTTTTACATTTTCCTCTAGATACTATCTTTTGATTGTAAGAAGCTTCTGTCCAAGTTTGGTAAAAATCAAGGATGGTTTATGAATCTAATAAATGTTTTAAAACTTTAACTGCAGACTGTATGTAATGTTAACTGGAAGAAAAACTAATAAGTCCATTTATAAGTAATATACGGAAAAACAGGAAATAAATTTTTACAAAATTTCCTTCTAGATACTAGCTTTTGATCATAAACAAGCTTCTGTCCAAGTTTGGTACAAATCCAGGATAGTTTAAGAAAGCTATTAAAATTTTTAAAACTTGAACCACAGAGTGAATATTTGTGGACCCCGCCGCCGACAGAATGTAGGATCGCTATGTCTCGCTTTTGCAACAAAAGTCGCAGGCTCGACAAAAAGGACATTTTGAGGTCATTATATGTCGTTGATACAAACCCGGTTTGACTCCCCTACTGTAGAGCCAAAATGAGTTCTGATGTGTCAACAAGTCTGCCGGATTCTAGAATTTTGCTACATCTACACTTTTGTGCATTGACTTTCATTCAGACCATGAACTTTGCTAGAACATCTAACAAATCCTACAAATTTGCTGCAGGTCAGACAAATATCGGCCCTTCACCTTCCATATATCTGGTAGACAAAAATGTTTTGATTCAATATTGTTTCATAAAGGATCACTTCTGGCATCATTATCTGTCACACTTAATTCAGAACTGAAAAATGGCTTGAGAAAATATAACAAAACTTGCTCAGATTCTTCTATCTGCTATCTTAATTTTTGATTTGATTATGGTACTAAGTGATTTTTGGGGTTCCCCAAATGTGTAAATAATTGTTTTTGATTGTAGTGTATGTAAGGGCCTCTGGGAAGATAAATTTTTTGAAAAATAGAATTTATTATGTTCCCCCACGTAATGTATTGTATTAGTTTGTGATTAGGTCTACGGTAGTTCATGGTGAACCACTAGTGGTAGGTCAATGATATTTGGTATGCAGTTGTATTAGCATTGGCACATCTCATTACTATGGAGATTATTTGGCCCTGCCCCCTCAGTCAAGGTCTATTGACTTTTGAAACTTTTCATAGTTTACATGTATTAGTTTGTGATTAGGTCAATTTATGGTGAACCACTAGTGGTATGTCAATGATATTTGGTATGCAGTTGTATAAGCATTGGCATATCTCATTTCCATGGAGATTATTTGGCTCCGCCCCCTTAGTTATGGTCTATAGACTGAAAATTTTGCTAAGTTAACATGTATTAGTTTGTGATTAGGTCAGTTCAAGGGGAACCATTAGTGGTAGGCCAATGTTAATTGGTGTTCAGTTGTATAAGCATTAGCACATCTCATTTCCATGGAGAATATTTGGCCCTGCCCCTTCAGTCGTGGTCTATTTACTCGGAAACTTTTGCTTAGTTTACATGTATTAGTTTGTGATTAGATCAGTTTAAGATGAACTGCTAATGTAAGTTCAAGATATTTGTTATGCAAATTTATTGGCATTTGCAAGTATCGCTTCCATGGAGATTATATAGCCCCACCCCTGATCATGGTTCATTGACTTTGAAACTTTTACATAGTTTACAAGTTAATGTTTTTGTTTAGATTTGTTTAAAGGGAACGACTTATAATAAGTCAATGGTATTTGGTATGCAGTTATATTAGCATTGGCACATCTCATTCCATGGAGATTGTTTAGCCATGTACCTTCAGTCATGGTTCATCGACTTTGAATATTTGCATAACTTACATGTTAAAGTATTGCTATTTTAATTTCAACATTTGCATTATCAAAATTACAAAAAGGCGAGACATATCTCTGTGATAACAGTTTATTATAAAACTTAAACTATAGGTTAATATCAGCAATATCTAGGACAAGTTCTATAATGGTGGCCGATCGACTTTTTTAAAAGAGTTATGCCCTTGGAAATATTAAATTTATGGAAAATGGCCTCGTTAGCGCTCTCATGGGTACAATTCTTTCCAGATTTTTATAAAACTTATACTATAGGTTAATATATCAGCAGTATCTCAGACATGTTCTATAATGGTGGCCGATCGACTTTTTTTAAAAGAGTTATGCCCCTTGGAAATATAAAATATGTGCAACACAGGGGACATTGAAACTCTGTTCTTTTATTATTATTATATTATAAAACATTGACTTAGCCATTTCTGATATTAATTGCAACTCTTTGAAAACAGCTTGACAGTATACGTATTAAATGTTTTTGCTGTGATGTGATTTGGTGCAGAATTTGGCACAATAGACAACTTTCGAGTTCGATGAATTTCCGTCAAAAACTTTGGTTTTAGTGAACATCATTCGTGCGTTTAGGGGCATCGTCACTTCCGTTCCCATGTTGAGTGAGTGGTTGGAAAACTATGATGCTATATTGCAAGTATTATTCGGCAAATTGATTTCATAATTGACAATCAGCACTGCTGTCATTAGGGAATTGTGATTAAGTACCTACAGAACAAACAGTATTTCTAGTTTATCCTGCACAATGACGATCACTAAGACGCTTGATGAACGTTAATAGTGCAGGGATACAGGCGATCCCCTCTATCTGATAAATGACGTCAAAAAGGCGTGCATAATTGACAACTTTTTTTCGGTGAAGGACAAACTCGAAAGTGGTCTATTGCTGCAATTGTCCATGAAAAAAGAAAAAATAATAATAATACCGCACTCCAATAAAAATTCAAAATTGAAAATGGCAAAAACAAATTCAAAACAAATGTCATATTCCTGACTTGGTACAGGCATTTCTTTTTGTAGAAAATAACTAATCCTCCCACTTGGAGGACAGTTGTTTATTGTGCCTTCTATTTCAAATATTTTCTTCAAAAACTTGACAAAATCTCAATATTAGTTAATTCTGGAGAGAGAAAAAAATAGTTACTTCTAATCTTTTGAACGTTGTATGTTCTAATAATAATAAAAATACAATATTGTTTGTCCTAAACTGTATAATTTGTATTGCATTATTATAAGTATTGAAGGAAAATATTCTAAAACTAATATTCATTATCATAGAAATTGAAATGAACTCTGCTGCTAAAACAACTATCAATAATGATACTGTTTCAAATGAATTGTACTGATAGAATAAAATACTATGAACCTTTTAATTATTTAAAATACTACTATAATACTATTTACCTGATACCAACCTTATCTTTTTGTCAATATCATAACACAGCACACACAAAACCAAGCAATCTGGTGTCTAATTACATATTTAACAATATCTCGTAGAAAACTGTCATATGCACCCAGGGAAATTGAGAAAATAAATCATTTTTAACTTTGTCATTTCCTAGATAGATCAGGAAAAGTCGTAAAACTAGTTCAAAATTGAATTTTTACCTGCCTGTTTTTCAGGCATCAAAGATACCTTGCAGCAAAAGATAAAGCCAGAAAAACAGGAACAAAATATGCTAAAGGTGCCGCAGCAGCTCTCCTATCATCTGCAAGTAAGTAGTTAAATACAGTCAGAAATAGACACATAGTTATACTTCATGAAAATGCAACAGCGGTTTATATCATACAGGTCCATACAGACCCTTGCAACTTTGTGAGACTAGCCCTGGGCACGTTTCTTTTGTCTGAGACGACACAAAATGATTTTAGTGTACCATAATGAAGAGAATTGTCAATATATTAAACATTGAATACAAGCTTATAGTCTTGCAGTCACAAGGATTTTTAAGTATTCCAGGCCTATTGTGCACAGACATATTTACTAAACTTGTAAATATGAGGATAAGATCATTATAACTCTGCATAGTGGCCTTATATTAATTCTCATGGTCTGCTGAAAAATTAGTAATTTAAAACACCTATTGTAATGTTAGTCATTTGCAAGTTTTAAATGGAATGTTATAAATAAAATCTTTGCAAGTTTTTCAGTTAATTATGGTGATTATGTTTCATGAGACACTTCTTTTGAGGAGTGTTCAATGCCACAAGTAAAATATTTCTTGGAGGTTTTATCAGGCTTCATAAGAGGGGGGGGGGGGATGTTATATAAGAAAGATGGTAAAGCCCAATTCAGTATTTTGAACAAACATGATATCATACTTGTTCCACAATTGAGTCAGTCAGCAATATACATGTACCACTTCTAGAAAGTAATAATACAATGTATACAAGGACCACAATACACAAATGTAATGAAGAATTGGTTTAGTATTTAATATTGAGGAAACAAAATTATCTATTTATAAGAGGGGGAAATTTTAAATTAATTTTGATTTTATACCATTGATTTGTCATAATATAAGATATGCAAGCGTTAATGTCAATCTGTCACAACAACACTAGAAATTGTTTTATCAGCCATGAACAGATCACACATTATATTACACAGTGAAATGAAGCTTTACAATTTCTTTATTAATAGTAAAACAGTAGGACCTTTGTCACTTCTTTTTTTCAATAAATCCTTTTCTATTTAAGAATAAATCGTAGTTGCTTAAAAAATGTCTTCACATTATTATAGGGTAAACACTTAATTAAATAAGATTATGCTATTCAACTTATTTTTTCATGTAGAATTACGGAACAAATATGAGAGGAGAACACCAACTAAGCCAAGGTCAACACCAACAAAGAAATCAGATAGAAGATTGTATCGTAGTGAATTGAAAAAGAGAAGAGCAGCACAGCTTGGTATTTATTGTATGGCATTGACAAACGCACATTTTTACAGGCTAAAAGATAAAAAGATATTTTATTCACAAAGCAAAGAGAAAAAAAGTACAGACAATATGTAGTGAGCAGAAAAGTCAAATTGTCAGACATATTGAACAAAAGTTTTGTCAGTTTGCTTGCCAAATTTGTTAAGCAATATATTTCATATAACCAGACAGAAAAATCTGCTAAAAATCTAAAAAAAACATGGAAAGGTGGCCAACCAGAACTGTTGCTGAACAAGCTTTTGATAGAATTTAAAGCTCTTATGTAAGACAGTTCAAAGTCTTGCATGTATATTTTTAAAACCGACAAATATTTGAGTGAAATTCATGGAATAGCATAAACTCTAATTGCAGTGAGTTCAAATATCAAATCATAATGCAAAATAGACAATGGTTTACTTTTACAAATTGTGACTTGGATGGAGAGTTGTCTCATTGGCACTCATACCACATCTTCTTATTTCTATATAAGAAGAGAAAAAGGAAATTAAATTCACAGACACCCTTGATTACGAAAGCAAAAGTATGGGTGTTTATTCTGATTTATTTGAAAAATATATATTTAAGTATATATGAATAAAAAAATGTTGTAAAAATTTTGATTTGAATGTTCTGAGATACATAAATATATTTCATAATAAGTGTCAAAGACGACCTTATTTTCCCAGATGATAGAGGATGAAATAGTTTAGACAATGGACGTTATTGTCACATATGTGAAATTTATTTAACTCAAAACATTAGATATCTGCATATTTATGAACATTGATTTATATATATATTTAGATTTTATATATATATATTGATATAATTTCTTATATACTTACATGTTTTACAGCTGCAAAGAAGAATCGATCAGTTTCATTACATGGAGATGAATACAGAGCAATGACTCCATCACCAATGTCAACAGATAGTGACTTTGGACTACTATCATCAAGTTACCCATCTTGTTCTAAAGATTCAGCGCAGCGGAAAAAGAAATTAGAAAATGCCTATGACATTAACAACATTGTCATTCCTTATAGTATGGCTGCATCTACAAGAGTGGAGAAACTTCAGTACAAGGAAATAGTAACACCCAAGTATGTCTCATAGTTCTCTTGAATCAAAGGGCTAGTGTGACTGGTGTATCTGTCATTTATTCAGTATTTTAAAATTCAAGTTTAAATTTAAGTTTAGACAAATTACATTAAAGAATTCTTTTTAAACGTTTGGGCTTAATTTCAACCAAGGGTGATCAGTTTCAACATGGTGTCCTCGATGTGAAATATATATGATGTGAGCTTATCTTACTTTTGAGTTGATTGTGCCTTCAGAATTGTCACATTTAGGTTTAAACAATCCTACATAACAACTGTATGGAGTGGAACCATTTCTGGCCACAATGATCCTTGAATGGCTATTAAAAGAATGTTACTGTTAAAAAAAAACTGGCTGCTATTTCTAAAATGAGAATGTAGGTAAAATGATAAGACTAAATAAAATTCACCGTTACTGCGGATAAAATCTGTCAAAAAAAGTGAGAAACTCTTTTTAATGGCCAGTTGTAACCAAAATACTAAATTTGTACAGTTTGTAAAAAAAAAAATTCTGCTTTACAGGTTATACAGTTGATTACAGTAGAAAACACAATTAAATTGTTTCTTGACCAGTTGATTCTCTTGTACTGAATATTGAGATAATATATTATGTTCTGATCTACTCTCTTAATGAATATTTGTGTAGTAATTTATGTGATCTTTTTACGTAAATTTGACCAAAAAGTTCCTGAAATTCTACCATGTTCTCTTGAAAATAAATATTCTTAATCATAACTTACTTTAATAACATCAGATTCAAACTACATCATCATGCTTCTGCAAAATATTATGTGTTCTTAAAGCCAGTATCAAATTTGATAAATATTGTTATTTTATAGATATGGTTTTAGCTTTATTAGCAGGTTCAAAAGTTGCCACATAAGTGTTTCTGCTGTAGAACAGTATACATTCAAAGGGAGGCAATTCTATCTAAAATTCTTTTACACTTGGTTGTTGTTTTGTTGAATCATTAATATTAAACAATCAGAATACAAATTATTTCTTCACGTGGATAAAAGCTTCGTTTTATTCTTTTTTGAATGGGGGGGGGGGGGGGGGAGGATACTTGAGTTCTTTGTAAGGACAATGGAACGAGTTAAGCATACAAATGACATCATTTACAGAAATCAATATGGTTGGTGACCACATTGATTTACCAGCTTTACATGACAAATATTCTGGACAACATATGATTGTTGCTATGGCACACATTCTATATAATCTATGTGAAGGGAAAATTTTGATTATGAACATTTACTAAGAAAAATAAATTGTTTGTTTCAGGTGGAGAAAGCTTGAACCTGAAGAAACCTGTGATAAAGTTGCTAATTGTGATTACCAGGTAATAACAATTAAATATTATTGAACGGAAAAAAAAATGAAAAACACTTTACCTTAAAATTAAGAGATTCAAATGTTATAAATTTAAAGAATAAGTAATTAAGTTTTTCAGTACCAGAAGCGAACAAAACCCAGGTTTTTTTGCAACTTCAGATGAGCACAAAGACAAATGAAGTTTATTATCAGCAAGGTGGACCATGGAAACAAATATTACCTAGAGCTGTTATAAACCAATCAAATCATAGAACAGGATTTTTGAAAACCTGCTTATGTTTGTGGTTTTTTATATTCACAAAAGTTAGTAAAAATATCATGATTCACCTTATAAGAAAGAAAAAAATTAATTTTATGCTGACTAATTGGATTAACCTTGCTTCAAACAAAATTTAAGTGAGAACGAAAAACTAAAATGATGAGAGGGTATATTTCACTAGTTGGTCATTTTATAATTAAAAAAAACGGAAATCATATTACAAAGGTTATCTAAAAACTTTTAACACTTCTTATGTTTGTCTCATCTGTGATGCAGAGGAAAGCTTTAGGTGAGCTGTTTCAGACGTCAGAAAATGTATCCAAATGTGTTTAAGTTTGTGATTAGCATACTCGGGTGAGACATCTGTGTAACCATTTTTTTAATACTTGATAACAGGTTACATTTATTGACAATTTTGAGATTCCTGTATACAACATAATTTTAATAAGTAATTTAGATATTGAGATATAAAGATATTGGTGTTAATATTCGTGGAATGTTATAAATGTTTAACAAGTGTAGGTTTATACATTGAATCTAAGTCCTTGGTTCAAGTGTTGAATATACTCTAAAAAAAATATTGCATTTTTTATTTTGACCATGATTTTAGTATTGAACTTGTAAACTGTCACACTAAGAGAGACAACTCTGTAAACTGTCACACTAAGAGAGACAACTCTGTAAACTGTCACACTAAGAGAGACAACTCTGATGCTTTAAATAGAACACTGAGGAATGTTAACTACCAATTTTATTCTCCCCTTGATGATTATATTGCAAAATAAAAATTAGTTTGCTCAACAAACTTTTAAGTTAAGTTTTGATAAAAATACTGTTTTTGAGGTAAAGATTGCATGAAATGCAATCAAAACCCTATGGAACTGACTTGATATCTGTATCTTCAAGGTTTATTACTGCCTTTGATAGTTCAAACAAAATAGTGCATTGAAGTGATCATTATTTAGATCATATCCAGTCAACGTCATGCAATTTATTGATGATATATTATACCTTGGTATTTATGTTTTGATATGAGGTGTATTTGAATTACAATAATTGCCAAGAAAACATTTTTTATTCAAAATTACATGAGTAATGCATGGTGTATGAATCTGTTATAAAAATAGGTTCAACTACAAATGTACAATCACGAACCAAGGACAATAACTCCAACTCAAATTTTTAATTTGCCTAGCAAAATACAATTCAATGTTTTATTTGAATATTCACAAATTGCAAAATGAAAGTAATCTTTACCCTTAAACCATCTCAAGCACTTTGATTATTAAATGGAAAAAACACATACTAGATGTAGATTTTACCAGCTTGTAAAAGGGTCCTGGTGATTTTTTGGGTTGTGAACAATACTTTGGGATAACCAGTTTTTGTTTGTTTGTAAAAATTGAAACAAATCTACAATTTTGATAGTTTCCATTGAAGGGTCAATTTGTAGTCAAATGTAAAATTGAAATGCATAATAGAATTAATCAAAAATGGGAAAACAATATAAAAACAAATTACAGGTAAAAATGTTTACATTTGCAAAACTTTTGTGATTCATGACGTGATGGATAATGTCATGTTTTCCATGACTGATAGAAATTATTTTACTTGTTGGTTAATAACCACATCAATTAATTTTGTGAATCATCCCAATAAATATGATACTTCAAAGATGATATTGAATTGATTTTAAGACTGTTTTGGCTTTAATGCAGTCTAAATAAAAACCATCTACAAATAATTTGATTATGTTATAAAGGGTCTCCAAATAATCAAACAAAATCTTTTGAATTCTCATCAGTATTTTTACTGTTGACCAAAAGCCCAATGAATTTTATGTATTTTTCAGAGTGAAGATACATCAGATGAATCTTTTCTTTCCCGACATCATACCTGTGAAGTTTCGGAGAGGAAAAGATTATCAAACTTTGTTCAATATCCAAGTAGAAGAAGTAGAAGTTCTAGAACAGACAGTGGAACTACAGAAGTGTCACAAGATAGTTCTGATATATATGGGAAAGATGAGACATTCCGTAGACGAAGTGGTTCTGCTACTATTCGCCGTATAAGTAATAGTGTGTCATTTGATGATGGGGAATTTGTTATTCCAATGGACATATGTTTTGTAGAACCTTGGATGGAAAGAACGTTTCCATTATCTGAAGAAGAATATACCAAAATGTTAACAGACCAACCGCCTGTTGTCGAGTCTCGGAGGCGTAGAAGTTCTTCACGGGTTTCTCTCTCTGAATCATTTGGTGGCAAACCTGAAGAAGAGGCAGCTGAAGGAGAAGCTATCACTTGCTCTCCTTTACCAAGCTCAAGCTCAGGATCTACTGCTAGTGAAGATCCCAATGATCCTGAATGGTCAGCTGCAGACACGAATGGGACAAAAGTATCTAAGAGGTGAATTTGTGCGAAGGAATAGTAGCTTGAGAGTAGTGCTGTCAGGACCTCGTGTTCTGTAAGAATAAGAGTGCTCATGTTATAGTGCTGTGATGAGGAGACCTGAACAAATTGGCAGTCTTCACTTACAACTTTATGTTGCATATAAACAATGTACTTATAAATGACAAGTAATCTAATTGGTTATTAAACATTGCCAAATTTTTGTTTGTGAAGTTCTGCCAGTTTCAGTTGTGAGATTTTTAAGGTTGCAGAATGAATGTGAAAAGTGATTAGTGATTTGAGGAATTATAGAACCATTTTACTACTGTACAAAGAAAACAGATATATTTCTTTCGTAATACATCTTAACATGTGTTAGATCTTTGTATTTGGATTCCAGTTTACAATGGCATTGGAACATTTGAATTTGATTTTGATGAGGAGTTGTCTGTCAGCTACTTTTGTTATTGTGGTACTTTAGTACTGTATCTTTGAGGTACTGAGAATATACCTGTTGAATGCAGTACTGTTTTAGTAAATTATTTTACTTTTTAGTACCATAATTTTACAGAACTAAAATTGGAAGTACTGTTAAGGTATTTGAAATCTCACTGCTAGATTAACAAATTGCAGCACAAATCTAGAAGTTTAAAATTATAATCATTGTACAAAAAAAGTTCAAGTAATTTGAAGATGTTAAACAGTACTTCAAGGATAAGGTAGATTTCAGTATACATATCTTGCATTCAAACGTACCCTGGCAAAAGTAGTTGTGTACCTGAGGAATAATAAAGATTTCCATTTTAAAGATCAAAGATGCACAATTTTCCTTAGGCAGGTTGTTGTTAATCAGGATGCAATGTTGTTTTTAAATGCTTATGTCACACTACATTTTCAATAATTCGATCATGCTTATAATAATAACATTTCATTATTTCAATGCCATTTATGAAAAAGAAAAAAAAAAGAGAGGTCATTTGTTAAAAACTTGAGGAAGCTGGTGTAAAATTTAACTAGATAAGTAATTATACATCAGGGATTTTTTTTCCAAATTATATACATACAAAGGCACATGTGCTTTTTGGGGTTGTGTTTTTGTTACAAACTAGTTGTCTTACTGCATTGAATTAGCTGTTAGATTATTGTGATGAAATGTACAAAAATACATGTGTATACAGAACTTGATTTGTTGCTTTTTTGTAAGTTTCATTGTTAAATTTTGTATCTGTTATCTCACTTAAGAGGACAAAAAAATCCCAAGCTAAGTTATGTGTCAAAGGGCCAGTCAAGTTGTGGCAAACGGATGTGTTTAATTCTGAATTTCTACGCATATTAAAAATGCAATAGAATCTTTGTAAAGTTATCATTTATAGGCAAAAAAAAGGTATTTCTTTTAGGATACAGAAGTTAAAATTAATAGGGTATAGAAATTGCTAAATAATTATTTTTATCATGTTTATTCATCAAGCTTAAATTAGGGACAGTCTGGCTCTTTTTATAAGATACGTTGAGATTCTCATGACTTGAAATTATTTTGTCTTTGCTATCTTTTTTGTAAAAGTCACAGAATAGACTGACTTAAATCACCACTTAAACAATAAGTTACGATAACATACATGTATGTACTTGTAAAAAAAGGTTGGTTAGATCACTGTAAACTAGCATTTTCACAACCTTATGCAAAATAATATCACATTTTGACAGTGAAAATTAGCACTAGGATTATCTGTATGAAAAAAAAAACTGATGAATGCATTTTAAAAAAAACAAAAAAACAATAACAACAGTAATAATTTTTAGATACGTAATTTGGCCATTTCACAAATTTTTTATGAAATATGCAATGTTGGGGAAATGTATGCAACTTTTATACTTATCTACCAGCTATAATGAATTAAATATCTTTCAAATTAGTAAAAAAAATACGTTTTATATTGCAACTCTACCCAAGAATTCCTGGAAAATGATATATGTTAAAGCCTGATAAATGCAGTTTCACATGCACTAGTTTCCTGCAAATTACTTATATCTGGAATCACACATATGTGTACCTGTTACGTTCATACATTGATTGTAATATTTCACTTTGTAACAACCGGTGTTAGATATATTATTAATGTGTCCTATTGATAGATATAGCTATTGTGTCCTGTTCATAGATATAGAAATAATTTAAATACAAGGACAAATCTGGCCATAATACGTTAACATAAGTGCTATTATATTGTATTTTCATACAACTTGTGTCCATCAGACTTATTTTTTTAAAGTTTTGGATAATATTGCTCTTTTTTTGTTGTTGACAATTTAGCTTTGTAGATCAATAATATGTGATCAGTCGGTTTTATAAGTTGTGATCGATCTATTATGGACTGTTCCTTTAAAACATTCATGATACCAATTGAAGGCATTTTCAAAAACAGATAACCACCTGTTCTGACTGTTCTTAACATCCACTCAGTGGAGATTTTGAAGTGCCTTTCCTGGGTTCCTTGTATGTTTTTATGGAACAACCCCAAGCACTTGATGCCATTTTTCAGCATATAAATAATCTTTTTGGTAACTGTCAAACTTGTAAGTACAGTCATTTAGGGTGTAGATCAACACAAAAATAATGTTGTCTTTTATCTTAGCAACACTTTGTTTAATTCTGTAAATAGTGCTTGCACTCATATTTATAACGACAAGGATTCTTTATACATGCGTATAATTCAAACCGATTTAAGTTCTAACTTTCAAGCACTTTTATATTTGATTTATGTATCCCAATACAACTGCAACAAGTTTATCAAATTCTAAAATCAGTGTAAAATACTTTTTGGAATTTTTTGTTGCCTTGTTAAAGTCTTTCAATAGATGTAGTGTATTTGTTTAATGATGAACAGTTATAATAAAACAATTGCAAGAAGTAAATCTTGAAAAGTTTTATGATGAAATTTGAAAGTTTTGTTTGTGATATGTGTTGGATCATTGAATTTAGTTTGATTGCTTAAATATCTTGTTTGGTTACAGAAATTTTAGAAAAAAAATGGAATACACACTTGTCTAGTGTCTTATAATAGTTGATGTATGATATTCAGTTGGAGAATAGACTTCTTGGGGCATTAGATTAGAGAGGAAAAGATCTAGGAAACTTAACTTGTTGAGATTTGGACTTCCAACAGAAATGGTTAAAGTTCCTTTTTCAGTTGGAATAAAAAGACATACTTTATAGTTTATACAATAAGAAAAAAATATTTCTTTTTGTTGCAGTCTGCTGAGAGCCAAAATATAAAATGACCATCACAGCCATCAAAAATGGGTATCCTGACAATACTACATTTATTCCAATAAGTCCCAAACTATTCAAGTCATTAAATCTGATGGTCAACAAACATTTACTTTCCTGTTGAGTTTTATGCCCAGAAAACGAATGTAGGGTGTGTTAATAAACAAACACCAAGACCAATTGTAGATTTCATAGATCCGTTGTTCTGATTAAAACTTATGTTTAATAAACAAAAAACAACTTTCATTTTTGCTTGCTGACTGTTCCAAAGGTTTTTTGTTAGTACTTAGTGTAGAAAACTGTCCTTTTTTCCACCAGGCTTACAAAAAAATTACTAATTTTCCTGAAAAAGGGTCAGTTCTGATTTTATATCTGTTACAAAGCTCCACATGCACTATTCAACACATTTAAATCTACTGACATTTACATGTATAAATAGTCATGTAATCTTTTTTCCATGAAGAAATCATTGATCATGTTTATCGCACTGAGGAGTTTATCTCTCACTGATCATGTTTATGTAAAATCTTTGTTAATTGTTTATTTGTTTATGCTGTATAATACTTGTACATTTACTGTATAGTTGTACAAATGTATATATTGTTTCTCAGATATTTGTAAAATAAAGCCCTACTGAAATTATGTTTAAGGATTTTTTGTTTCCACTGGTATTTATATCCCTTCTGGCATCCATTTTGAGTTGAAACCAAAGTTAGTCTGGTTCATTTATAGGATGTCAACTATAACATTTGTGATTTTTGTCCAGGTTGACCAACCAACATGTCCACCCTGTCTAAAAATAGAACATAGGGGTCAAACTACAGTTATTGCCCCTGAAATTTAGATTTTTAACCTTTTAGCCATTTCCTTGCCATTTTTATGCCTCCGCGGTTAAGTTTTACCCTTGTCAGTCCGTACATCCCAAAATTGGTTTCCGTTCTCTAACTTTAGTTTGCCTCAACCAAATGTTATGAAACTTGAGCTCAATTCTTCTTACAACAAAACACAGATCAAGTTTGAATTTTGGTGGCGTCACTTTTACCGTTCTAGAGTTATTCCCCTTTCATTTCCGTTCTCTAACTTTAGTTTGCCTCAACCAAAGGTTATGAAACTTATACACAATGCTTATTACCACAAAACACAGATCAAGTTTGAATTTTGGTGGCGTCACTTTTACTGTTTTAGAGTTATGCCCCTTTACAAATGGAAAAATTGCTGAATTTTTCATTTCTGTTCTCTAACTTTAGTTTGCCTGAACCAAATGTTATGAAACCACAAAACACAGATCAATTATGAATTTGGGTAGCGTCACTTTTACCCTTTTTGAGTTATGTCCCTTTATAACGTTATATGCAAGCGGGGGCATCATCTGTGTCCTATGGACACATTCCCCATTTATTTTTTTGGAATTATAGTAATAGAACAAAATTGAGAATGGAAACCGGGAATGTGTCAAAGAGACAACAACCTGACCAAAGAACAGAAAATGGACCTCACACTTAACTCTGAAACATATAAATGAACCAAAATTTTAAAAAATCATACAAGACTAACAAAGGCCTGAGGTTCCTGACTTGGTACAGGCACAAAAATGTGGCATGTTTTGTTAGATCTTAACCCTCCCCCTATACCTCTAGCCAATGTGGAATAAACAAACACACAGTAATGTATAGTTAGTATTGAAATCCCAATTAATCTCTTATTATATGAGGATCCCGTAAACCCACCCTGTAATACCCTCCACAATTGGCACATGGACACAACACTGCTTCTTCTCTGCCTCCCTGTAGGATACAGTGGCCGAGTGGAATATAAAGCAGTGTAGAAAGTTAACATTATGATGTATAAAAACAGTCAGGTTTGGGAAAACTAACCACAGTTTATTTTTAATGCAAAATTCAAATTCATACAAGGCAATAATAATCATGACTAGTGATGATCTAGAATTGAATAAAAGATGAGCCAAACTGTGGTTCTCCACAGAAAATTCTAAATACTGTGGAACATTACTATTAAACTACATCATTAATTCACAACATAACAGTATACATAACAATGAAATGTACATTATACAAATAATTAAAGTAACCCTTTATTAACATGCAAAAATAAAAAACCTAAAACGCCAAGGGTGTGGATGGTGGGAAAGGAGATGCCAATATTATGAAATGCAAAAACGATGTTTACTGCTGCAAGCCAAATTTTTGAATGCCCAAAAGATGCTGGGATGCAAGCTGAGCTTTGGATGATTTTAATATGATTGGTCTAGAAAAAAGCACGGAAATATGAATAGCTAGTTTTTATTGGTCAACAACAAATTCCAGACACAACAGATTCAAATATCGAGAGATCTGATTGGTTACTAAGTTAAACAAACGAAAGCGAGGTGCAGGAGTTATAACTAGAACAATACGAAACTAACAGCAAACATATATAACAATTAATAATGTATTTAATTTAAATACTCCCATTAATCTCTTATTATATGAGGATCCCGTAAACCCACCCTGTAATACCCTCCACAATTGGCACATGGACACAACACTGCTTCTTCTCTGCCTCCCTGTAGGATACAGTGGCCGAGTGGAATATAAAGCAGTGTAGAAAGTTAACATTATGATGTATAAAAACAAAGTCAGGTTTGGGAAAACTAACCACAGTTTATTTTTAATGCAAAATTCAAATTCATACAAAGCAATAATAATCATGACTAGTGATGATATAGAATTGAATAAAAGATAAGCCAAACTGTGGTTCTCCAAAAATAAAACACACTTAGATAATTATATTAATATTATAGTACATGTGTACAAAAAATTGAAATAATCAGAATATATCAACATGTATCAATGAAATTATATTTTATAATGAATAGCTAGTTTTGATTGGTCAACAATAAATTCCAGACACAACAGATTCAAATATCGAGAGATCTGATTGGTTACTAAGTTAAACAAACGAAAGCGAGGTGCAGGAGTTATAACTAGAACAATACGAAACTAACAGCAAACATATATAACAATTAATAATGTATTTAATTTAAATACTCCCCTTGATCATACACCAAAAAAATTGCTGTGACAAGAAATGTTATGGAACAGATGAAGTATGAATTGCACAGAGATATATATTTCATACCACTGTTTTCAGTGTAAAAAGACTTAGGGTTGTCCAAGAAAATATTATGTCCCAACCCCCTAATGGCAGCTAATCACTTTTCCTGTAGGTAGTCACAACTGTTGGAAAGTGGTGCCATTTCTGATGAAACTAAATCTCTATGTGATTGGTTATTTGTAGAAACAGTTCTAACTTAAAACATTAAATTGTTGTGTAGGACATGAAACTAGCATTTCTGCTATTATTTAGAACAAAAGAATAACACTTAAATGTGAATTGCCTAAATATAAAGAGATGTGGGGTATACTTCAATCAAAGAACAGCCAAAAGACACATAGAGGGAACCATCCTTTGACTCGGGCTTCTTTCCGTGTTGTGTTATATCTGCAAACCAACATAAATCTACGCTTCCTGGGATCAAATGTTGTAAGCAAAATGATAATTTTGTGGTTCTGTTTATGATCATATAGAAGATCTTTGCTTGTAAACTATTTGCCACTGAAAAAGAAAAATAATAAAGAAAAAAAAACTGAGCTCATTTAGTTAAACACTGCCCCTATAAGTAACCAACATAACTGCAACACTGCATTGGGTAAAATAACTTGGCTTAAACCATTGTGGTGACGTCAGCCTATTCATTTACCGTGGATTCTTTTTCTAGAATCAACGCTTCCTAAATCTGCCGCTGAAATTGACTCACCAAATTATATTCAATTGTTTCCATTGTGTGCCTAATTTCATTAAGTTTGAATTGGCTAATTTACTGATTTCTGTTCACTAATGGAATTAAGTCTAGGTTAGTCTATGGAAAGGTATATACTATGAAATTTAGAGCGAGGGGCTTGCCCCGAGCTCTTAATTTCATAGTATATACCTTTTCATAGACTATCCAATTTAGCACATATTTACAACTCGAGTAATCTTTTAATTGATCTATTGATAGTTTATTTTGGCTGACTACTTGTATCACAGGTGTTTGTAAAACGGAGCTCATAAACGAAGTTTTGTAAATCTACTCACTAATATCATTGTAAAATTTCAAAAGGCCCTTGACTCCAGAATGAAAAGATGGTAGCTGCTGGTGTAAGTATGTATACTGATATAAAGCGGTGTTTTACTATACATGTTCTTCTTACATGGTAAGATGACAAAATAAATTGACCAAAAGCAGGCAATAATTAAATTGCAGTGGAAGCTTTACATGTTTTGAAAACTTTTTTTAATTTCACAGTAAAACTAAAGCTATAATAAATTTGAAACATATAGATAGTTTGTCCCCATAGATATAGTCTAGCAGATAGGCATTAAAAACCAACTACCAATAGATCAGAGATTATAGGTTTTGTGTTTTGTGTTGTTTTTTTTTATCATTTCAAAGTAAAAACTAAATTTATCAGAATATGTTTATATATATATATATAGGTGGCACATTATCTTCAGACAGTCACAGTTTTTCAATTCATGACATCGTCCTAAACATGCATGAAATATTTGCCACTGGACATTAAGCAACCAATAATCAATAAATCAAACAATTCATGACGAAATAGATCACCTTCCTTAAGAAAGTTTAAAAAATTATCACCAAGTTGCTTTAATTTTCCTTCACAAGGTTTCAAAGTACACACTTTTCTGTGTACAAAGTAATTGCATGGATGATACATTATCATAATTTTAAGATATCATTGTACTCTAATCAAGGTATAAAGAACCATATGTATTACCCTTTATTTAAATGATAAAATTTGCAATTGTCAAAAACATTTTTTAGATCCAAAGATTTTAATAGCAGGATATTTAAAAATCAACGTGAAAACTAATTACAAACTATTTAATTTAATTTGGAACACAGCATTTTATTTTAAAATAGCCAGTGGCAATTTTTGTTTTAAATATCTTGATTACGATACAATGAAATCTTACCCTTGTGGTCATTCATGCGTAGTTACTTAGTACACAGGAAAAGTATGTACTATGAAAATTAGAAGGCAAATATAAGCAATTTGATTGGACGAGAAGTTGTAAGTATGTGCTAATTTAAAAACTTACCTTTATTTTTTGTAATTTGTATATGCCTTCACTGGGAATCGAACCTTTCCTTGAAATCTGTTATGTGTGACTGACATCAACACATTGACGAAACCTCTCGGCTACCAATGGGTTACACTATAGATGTCTATTTTATATATTTAAATGAACATCTGATATACATCGGTTCATCGGACACACAGGGCTTGTACCTTTATATAGAAACAATAGGTAGTCGTATGGTATGAGTTGGTAGCCGCGAGGTTAGCATGGTTAAAATCAATGAGTTAAAGATAGGGATTTGTCGGTTTAGGTTCGAATCCCTGTATTCTCTCTGTTGTTCCAATTCTTAAATGATCCTGTTTTTTTTTCTAATTTTGCATGTAATAGTGGATATTTTTGTATTAATAGCGAGTTTTACCGGGTTTTTTTTAATTATTATTGGCTATTTCACATGTTTGAAACAAAAATGATTACATTCTATTTGTCAATTTTTG